AGCACATTGATGCCAACTCAATGCATTACTTTCATAGGGCTCAGCCTAGACTCCCTTCGGGTGAGGGCTTTTCTGTCCCCGGAGAGAACAGCAGCCATACAGTCATCCCTTGCACTGTTTCATAGAGGCAACACAGTGACCCCAAACAGTGCCAGAGGCTGCTCGGTCTGATGGCTTCTTCTCTAGTGGCGATGACACTGGGACGCCTGCACATGAGAGGCTTTCAGCGCTGGGTGGGCTTGGGGGGACTGGACCCTCACTGAGACGGCCACCGTCGCGTGAGAGTCTCTGCAGACTGTTCACTCGCTCTCCGCGAGTGGAAGAGGCCAGGTTTCTTGTCTCAGGGCGTTGCCATGGGGGCAGTTTCAGCCAGGAAGGTGATTTCCACAGATGCCTCTCTTTCGGGCTGGGGCACCACCCATGAGGAAACAGTGAATGGGGAATGGGGCCCTCACATGCGCTCCACCCACATAAACTGTCTGGAACCGCTGGCGGTTCACCTGTCGCTAAAACACTTTCTCCCTTGGCTGAGAGGTCATCATGTTTTAGTGAGGTCGGACAATTTCACCGTTGTGGCCTACATCAACAGACAGGGGGGTCTGGGGTCCAAGTTACACACACTGGCACACAGACTGATAGTCTGGAGCAGTGTCCACCTGCTGTCACTGAGAGCAACTCACGTGCCGGGGATCTTGAACTTTGGAGCAGACCTTCTCTCCAGGGGCAACCTGCTGTATGGGGACTGGAAGCTTCACCCAGAGGTGGTGAAGCAGATCTAGCTGCGATTCGGTCAGGCGACCGTGGACGTTTATGCATCCAGGGAGAATGCTCAGTGTCCCCTGTTTTACTTGCTGCACCATCAGAGAGCTCCACTCGGGGTGGATGCTCTAGCTCACGAGTGGCCGAGAACCCTCCTCTATGCTTTTCCCCCAGTGGCCCTCATTTCTCCAACTCTGGCCAGAGTGAGGGAGAGAAGTCACTATATGATCCTGATAGCCCCGCACTGGCCAGGGAAACACTGGCTGGCGGAGATTTTTCAGCAGCTGTGCGGCCCACCTTGGCCGTTACCACTACGCAGAGACCTCCTGTCTCAGGCACAGGGGGAAATATTCCACCCCCACCCAGAGAGGCTAGCTCTATGGGCTTGGCCCGTGAGTGGTTTAACCTGAACACGGTGGGGCTCCCTCATAGTGTTATCGACACTATTCAGTGTTCTAGAGCATCGTCTACTCGGACGCTATATGAGCACAAGTGGCGTGTGTTTGAAAGCTGGTGCTTAGAATCACAGGCCATCCCTTTTCAGTGCTCTGTGGCTGTGATTCTGTCATTTCTTCAGGCCCTGATTGATAAGGGTAAAGCCTTCTCCACCATCAAGGTGTATTTGGCAGCAATTTCGGCCTGCCATATTGGTTTTGAGGGAAAGACTGTTGGCCAGCATCCCTTAATATGCCTTTTCATGAAGGGTGCATGGCGTAAATTGCCTACGTCCATCGTGGGACCTTCCCACAGTATTGGCTGCGCTCTCCTGTTGCCCATTTGAACCCCTGGAACAGGTTGAGTTAAAATTTCTGTCCTTGAAGACAGCTCTTTTAATTGCTTTAGCTTCTGCTAAATGTGTGGGAGAGATCCACGCTCTCTCAGTGCATCAGTCATGCATTCAGTTCTCCTCGGATAATACGAGGGTCAGTATGCGGCTCAACCCTGCCTTTGTCCCGAAGGTTGTCGGCACATGTTCCCCTATAGAACTGCCGGCCTTTTGCCCACCGCCTTTCTCCTCAGAGGAGCAACAGCGGCTGCATACCTTGTGTCCAGTCCGTGCTCTGCGCATTTACATGGACCGAACCCAGAGTGTCAGACAAAGTGACCAGCTGTTCGTGTCCTGGGCTAAACCACATATGGGAAAGCCTGTGTCTAAACAGCGCCTCTCCCATTGGATAGTAGGAGCAATTGCCCTGGCCTATACTAGCAGAGGCCTTCAGCCCCCTGCTGGCTTACGTGCGCATTCCACTAGAGGTCTGGCAACCTCATGGGCTCTGTTTAGGGGAGCTTCTATTCAGGAGGTGTGTGCAGCGGCATGCTGGACCTCACCTCATACATTTGCTAGGTTTTACAGGTTAGATGTGACAGCACCTAACCTAGCACATTCAGTCCTCAGTGCAGGTTCTTCCCGGGTGGGGGCCTCTCCCCTGTGAAGTGCTGTTGGGGACAGTTGTCTTCTTAACAGGCATGTCTGGCAATCCGGGAGTCAGTTTTTCTCCCATAGTGAGACACGAAACGAATGCTATGAAAGAGAACTTAAGGTTATGTATATAACCCCGGTTCTCTGAGTAGCATGAGTGAGTGTCTCACCAGACCGCCCTCCTTGCTATGGAAGCGAGGAAGAGGTGGGCTTGTTTTGAATGACATCTGACGCTATGTCAGCCTATTATATAGGGACGCACTAGCCCCTCCTAACATGGGCGTCACCTAGCCAGCCTGTAATGGTATTTGAGCTTCTGATGAGGTCACGCAGGAGGCGTTCCCATAGTGAGACACTCACTCATGCTACTCAGAGAACCGGGGTTATATACATAACCTTAAGATCTTTCACATCTTTGCTGGAGTTTCTTAGCTATGTCAAATGGAAAGTCCATTCTCCCTGCAGCACGGACTACACTGCCCATGAGGCTACATTCTTTAGGGCTATGCCTGTAGCATTCTGCCTATTAGCTTAGCACAACAACAAAAAGGCGCTCTCTCACCCAGGAAACACGCAGAGCGAGAGCGTCCCCCTGTAACCATGGCAACCGCAACGCTGCCGCCTGGAACTACAGAACATAGCTGTCAAACAAAACCGAAACAGTCCTGACCTGCGACAATATGAAATTATGAAACAGGAAAGTACCGCCGTGTAATCCATTTATTTCAACAAAGTAACTGTATTCTAAATACCACCTTTTTAAACGGTAACGGTAACGGAATACAGTTACTCATATTTTGTATTTTAAATACGTAATGGCGGTACATGTATTCCATTACTCCCCAACACTGGTAGTCAGTTACGTGTAGACCAAACTACACAACTGTATCATGCTTGAATGATTCATATGTCAGTGCAAAGTTGCTTATTAAACAAACACATTGTCCTAAAAATGGGCAGCCAATATCTAAAGAAAAATGTTGGAAGACATTCAGAAAGCTCAGAGAAGTATTGCTTCAGATCGCTGAAAAAGTTATAAGAAATACTGTCTCCATGGAAGAAAAAAATAAAGGAATGAGGGATGGCAGAAGAATTTTGCACAGTTCGGTGCTTCTCTTGAAAGGTGTTCCCTGGAGTAGTAAAAACCTACTTTATTCCCATAACAATGCCCAAATTGTGTCCCCAAAACCCTAAAACAGTTTCAGATAATATTAATAGCGCTTCATATACTTCAGAGTGTATTTGACTTTAGTTACTGGCCAGTGGTTCTGTTTGTTTCATGCCATATTTCACTGTTTATGTAAGTGTTAAATCTTGAAAGAGTCAGTCCTGTTGCTTGGAACACCTCCTACTTACAAAATAGAAATAGAGTGCCAGAGACAGTGAGAATACAACAATAGGAAACACTGGGCTTAATAAGATTAATTATAGGTAAGACATTACAATGACCAACTTTAAGATCAAAAGCTGAATATTTTAAGAGGAAATCCATGCAGGATACATTTTTGTTCTTCAAACCATTAAAAGGCATGCTCAGAAATTCCCTTATATGTATATCAGGGAACATCAAAACCCCCACAGTGGAAATAAAAGTTCCAATAAACAACATCCAATATGTGAGTGCAAATCCACACATAAGCCCCATAGACTCTGATACAAGATTATAATGAGACTTGTATTCCTATGGGACTTAAGGCCATTCCACATAGTTGGTGGTTGAATGGCAACACTAGGCAGTTATCTTGTATTGAGACATGTGGAGGTAGTGATAGTTAGAGGGTAGATATGTTGTAGATGCACACGGGGAGAGACATCAGACTCTTTATCAGACAGACAAAGCTATCTACCTTGCAAGTCAGCTTTCATCAATGCAACTTTTGTCAGCAAAATAATAGGAAAGGAAAAGGCAAAGTATACCAGCTGTTAGTAAAAGCAGCAAGATGTCAGAGATGGAGTAGCAAAACACAGAGTGCTGAAGAAGGAGAGACAAAGGGAAGGATCTTTGTCTTCAGAAGGAGCCAGAGGTGGAAAAATTATACTGTATAATGAAGGCTAGGTTAAGCTAAACTGTTAAAGCAACGAACCAAAAATGGCTTCGGCAGCATAAAGTAATACCAAGAAATTGCTGCTATTAAAGGAAGCGGGTGTTCTTTTTCAGGAAAATTTAGATAACTTGTTAAAAAACAAACAAAAAAAACCCAAACACCCAGAATGTTTCATTATTCATTACTAACTTTTAATATAAGTAGCTATATGTTATACAGCGACTCCACTATCACAATCTAATAAATGTGTTAACATTTCCATTGGGAGTCTCAATTGACTCTGTGTAGGAGGAAAAAAAAGAAAACAACAAGTTTGACAGACCTGCACGGGGAGATGAATTTGATTACATTTGTAATGTCAAAACACAAAAAGATCAGAAGCCGCACACTCGATAGAAAAAGAGTGGATGAATTGTGAAATTAAACTAAGTGACTGACGCTGGAAAATAAATCTAATATTGTCTCTGGATATGGTGCACATATTAGACTGGGCAAATGATATTTATGCATGCAACAAAGGATTCATACATAATTCAAAAGGATTGCTTCTGGCAAACTCTCAGATCCAGCAAGCATACATAGAGCAAAACAGAATGGGGGTAAAATGGGAAATAACACTCGCAGTACAAAAATGGCAGAGAGAATAAGCAGATTATGGCCAAGTGAAACAGAAATGATTGCCCGTGGAGGAGCGTCGGAGTTTGATGCATCCTAACAGAATACTAACACATTTAATGGATGTTAAATTATGTGCCACAGGTTGCCAGTGTGGGTGCCTCGGTGGGTGTGCTTCTCAACGAGTGTGTCTTCGTCTTGGACAAGTAGGAGAATGGGAATACTGAGCAGCTTTGCGTGGCGCTGCAATGACCCCTTAAGATGGTTTTGTGAAAATAAGGGGGAAAAGATTGAATAAAGAGGGAAAAACAACTGAATTTATACCTGAGCTTGGACTGACTGAGCTTGACAGTGATTTATCATCATCGACCCACTGCGTTCACTTATTGGGTTGACAGACTACTGACCTTCACATCCTCTCTCTATTTGTCCCACACAGTCCAGGGCATCTGACATCAAGTCTGGGAGCCGCCCGTTCAGATCCATTGATGCCAGACAACCTTGAAAACCCTCCTTGGCATGCACCAGTTTGGGCAGCTCCTTGTACATCTCCTTAGCCACCCCTCCAATATACAGGTTACCTGTAAGGACATGAGAAATATGACAATACTGACCCCTAGTGGACATAAAAAACATTATCAAATATTTTGGATGGCTTTTTAAACTGCGTTTAAAGTGAACATGCCAGGCATTAGTAACAGTTGCGTGAATTATTTTATTCAAGTGAAAAAGTACATGAGGTTAATTATGTCTAGCTTTGGAAACCTTTTCTAATTGTCTTGATTTAAATGTTTTTTTGTGGGTGGCTTTTTTTTTGTGGTCATGTCCAAGCCAGACATTTGTCATCTTTCATGTTTGTGCTGTTTCATTAACAATTTCAGATAAGGAAAATTACAACACTCTTCAAGGTAGTACACCAATTACCCCAATGTCCTTACAAGCTGTTTTATGTTATTAAATGATAATTCTTTAAAATAACTTTAATTCAAGGTTGGTCTGCTGAGCACAAATGGCCTTGTTTTTATGAACATATGCACATTGTTAATGGCAGCTGTAGAACAGATTAATGTGGAATTCTTGCTCAAGGGTACCTAAGTGGTGCTAATGAGTAAGGGCCAAGCATTGTTCCTACACACCCCTGCTGGGTCCACCCTGCTGGTGCAAACCTTCATTCACAAACCCAGGTCACTGCTGCCTCAATTTAATGTAAGAAATACACTGTAGTGCACTCTCAGGAAATAAGATACCCTTATCCTATTAGGTGTACAACAGGTTCACACCAGAAAAGGGATGCTCTAAGGTGCTGTTGGTGTACCCTTGAAAGGCATCCCTTATATTGTCTCATTTTCTACCTTAGTATAAGGAGGAAAAGAGCCAATAACAGACATAAAAAAGAAGTTAACTAAGGTTAATGACTTAATTATTATTTAATTATAAATTTGGGAATGGTCTACCACTTGCATAGCACATTTCTAGTCACAGAGGTTATTCGGTGCTTCATCTATTTCATATCTGCACCTGCATCCAACAGAAACCAGCTCAGAACCATCCTCGCAAAAATAGAAAATTATAGCTGAGAGATGACACTGCTGTCCTTTGGACTAATATATTTTGAATAAAACTTATCATGTTATTAAAATGAAGAATAAAATATTAAAACATTACATTTTTGCCCATATCCGAATTGCATTTGACCTGATATTACATTGCAAATATTACCCTTTTTCATATATATACCTTTTTGGCTCTCAAAAGGCACACAGTTACCCTGAGGTCCAATAATTAGCTTTAGAGGTGGAATTCATGGACTGTACCTGCAGGGATAGGAATGTATTTCGTTCTAGCCCTGTTGCAGAGAGTGTATGTGTGCATACCCTTCAGGTCCAGGTTTTTGGCTCCTGTTGTTGTCTGCGTGGTAATCTTGGTGTCAATCTTGACAGTGTGGAGGTTGTTGGTGTCCCTGGAGATTATAACATTGTGCCAGTGGTTGTCGTTCAGGGGTTTGTTAGAGTTGCCTTTGATCAGGTGGGCTCCATTCCCCAGGTCAGACACATAGTGTAGGTAACTGGAGGAAGATATTTAACTATCAGCTAATATCAGATGTGTTCTTTGTCATCTTGTGCTTTACATAGACTGTTTATCAGAGTAGACTGTAACATTAACAACATTGATACAAATAATTATGCTCATGTATATAAATATATTTTATACTGAAATGTCGCTGTTGGTGGCTGTGCGTTTGAAAACATAAATATACAAGAGTTTGAAAAAGTGGAAGTTAATAATTGGCAGGTAGAATAAACAACAAAGGGCAATGAACAGCGCTGAACAAATCATCCTTAAATTATTTGCTTTACAGTCAATTTGAGATTCGCACGCTCGTTTTTAATTAAAAAATATGGCGTCAATGTTTAGCGCGCGGGAAAGCCTAACTTGCGGCATTACTTAAAAGAAGGTTATTCTATAGCTGCAATAAGTGTGTAGTCGATTCTCTTTTATGTTGGGTATTTGCTCTGCCTTCATGAAGATTAAAAAGAACAGCAATAGCCGACAGCTCTTTCAGTAAATATTCTGGCGTAGAGGTGATAAGAGAAGAATTTGAAGTAAAGGCATAAAAAAAAAAAAAGCTGTCAAGAATTCTTTTCTGTTTGGAAACTGTCCTGTGTAGGAAGGGGTGCATTATTAAAATCATAATCCATTTTTATGGAGATTACTGCCTAAATAAACATCACCTACACTGGTATAAAACTGGATAGGCACAGTTTAATGGTTTTTGCTGTCAGTATTTGCTGGACTTTGCACCTGTTGGCAGGTAGGTCTGCCGTACAAATGTAAGAATGTGTAAAAAGGAGACTTTTATAACAACTGTTGCACTGACAGCAACAACAGCAAAGCAAAAATGTCAGGCATATTTTTTTAATGTGTCTGAGTGAAGGTTTGGTGTAAACCGTCACAAAAAAACACCAGTGACATCAAACAGTCAAGTCTACTGGGTACAAAACAAGATATATTACAGGCAAAGCACTTTTCTTTGACAGAATGAAGTCTCCACTTACCCTTTAACCAGCTCCACCACAATGAAGTCATTTCCATCGCCACTGTTATACAGGATGAGGCCGTCCGAGGAGGTGGTTTTGAACTGAAAAAAAAGGTGCATGGAGTAGTAGGCCTGCAGAGTAGTGAGAGTCACATAGCTGGAGCGTGACTTGAAGGTGACAGGGTCAGCAATGATGTTCTTGAAGCCAATCATTGCATTGAGCTCACAGTAATCAATGTCACCATTTTTACAGAGGTCTATGTAGGCCATGCCATTGAAGGAGAGGCTCTGGAGGTGGCCAATGAAGTTGGAGGGCACCATGGACATGAAGCGCTTCTCTGTCACAATGCCCGTCTCAATGTTATGGAACTCCAGCTGGGTGTGGTCACCTGCCATTTGACCTTTGATCGGCAGAAGTGGGAAGGGGAGAGAGGGTGTTATTGGGGATATCTGACAGTTAAATGGGCGCTGCTTTGCAATTAAAGGATCCACTTTAAATCCTCTCTGAAAAGAAATTAAAGAATGGCTTCACAATTATTGTCTTTAAGGAAAAAAAAAACTTCCACCAGATTCCCTTTTCATGCAACCCCCAGGAGATTAGAGTCTTCTCCTGGGACCGAACCAGGGATCTTTCACTTGTTAGGTGGTGCGTAAATCATTTGTTTCAATTCAATCTTATTTCATTTATGTAGCACCAAAGAACAACAACAAGGTGAAAAAAAGAGAAATAGAGACAATTTTATTTTCCTTTTCAAACAACAACATTTTATCTTAAATGTTTTTTTTTTTAAAAAGGTTTTATTCTATATAGAAAAAACCCTTTTTCCTGATCAGCAAAGCATGTTATGGATTATTTAAGTTTACATATTCAAAAAACTACTACATTACATCAAATAAAAAGAGGATGAGAGGTACCTTCCACAGGTGGAAGATCATCTACGGTCAGTTTCAAATTCTTGCCCCTCCTGAACACACGTACTGTGTGCCACTCATTATCGTTCAGATTCTGACCCGCAAAAATTGTCTCTGGACCTTTGCCTGCAGGACAGTCCAAACAGCGGTTAACACACACACTTAATGCAGACACACATACACACATCCATAACAGAGAGGTTGATAAAAGTAGAATAAGAAAGAGGGAGATCAAAAGGAAGAAAATGTGAATGGATGAAGTAGTTGGACAGAGGAAGAAAACATTAAGGTAAACATAGTTAATGGTCCATAAAAACACATTTTGACTTGCATTTGCAGCACTGATCGCACCATTAGATAAAGCATCAAAATTCTGAATTCTCCCTGAACACTATTTTCTTTGAACCAATAGGAGGGAGGCCATAATCAGATGCTGTAATATATTCAAACAAGTGTTTTCTGTGAATGCATAATGTGTGAGCTTTGAGTTAAATGGAGACACAAATATAAGCTTGCTATACGACTGATGTCTTCTTTCTTTTGAGATTTTCTTAAATTCCTATCATGCCACTTGGTGGCAGCAAATAACTACCAAAAGGCTATGACTGGACAGGCACTTAACAACCCAGTATCACTCTCCATCTTGTTTACCTACAAGAGTGCAGGCCAATATTTGATTTCCCTCATGTCCACCACATAAAATGAAATAGTGATGCAAAAAGAAACACCTGCATAATGGAAGCAGTGTGGTTGGCGGTGAGCAGAGAAAAAAAGGAACAAATAAAAAACAAAACAACAGAACAGACCATTTTAGCCCTCGTGCTAATCGTACAAAAACAGGAAATACAGAATGTGCTTTTTATCAGCACCCTTTGAAATAATTGATGCTCTGGAAAATGGAGAAGGTTACTGAAACTACACAGATGCCATTTTAAAAAAGCTAATGAATCCACTTTATTAAATCAATAAATGCTGTTTCCTATAGTGCTGCAAATCTGCCTTGCAAGGATTTACACATTCAAAACTTGTATTTAACTGAGTTTTGAAACTGAGAAATTGTATCACATTCGTCCTTAAATACACAGGACTGTGAAAAAGTTTTGAGCCACCCATCATGTTAATATATTTTGCTTCCAAGGAGCCAGACTTTCCTGTAATTGTTTAATGCAGTTTTGAGCAATGGTTCTCCAGAACCAGCCCCCCTCCCCCCCACCCCTAAACAACAAAAAAACAAACATGTTTCAAAAACACAAAATATGTTCCCATTTGTTTAACTGAATTTACCAAAAATGTCACAAATAAAACATTTTTGCAACAACAAGGTGATTCTTGAAAAGCTTTTTGCTGATAACTCTCAGCATGGTGCACAGTTCATCTTGAGAACACTGGACAAGTAAGGGATAAAAGGAAAAGTGTCAGACCTGAAATATTATCTATAGAAGATCTGAAAAGAATGTCCTTAAGAAAAAAAATCCAGCAAAGACCTGACACAGGATCAGAGAGATGCATCTGGCCCTTCAACAGATGGATCTAGTGTTTGCCAAAGGTTCGAAATGCACTCAGTGGAAGGGTGGCTGTCAAGAAGCCAGTCTTAAGGAAGGGAAACAGGGAGAGAAAGCTGAGGTGTGCCAAATTACTAATGAAAATGTCTTATGGAGTGATGAACCAACATTTGACACTTTTGGTTCAAATGTTGGTTCTACTCAAAGAAATTACGAGAAAGCTTGCCTAAGAGAGTTCAGGCTGCGTTGAAAAATAAAGGTGATCATAGCAAATACTGACTTTCAAGCTTGATAGAATTGTACAAACTCCAAATTATATTTCTATGTATGTTTGCTCATGTTTCAAAGTGGTCGTTCACTTCAAAAAAAAATATAAAGAAATGAGGGGCGACTAAAGATTTTAGCACAAAGCTGTATATAATTTTAAAGTGTTTGATGCTAGCATCACATTTTAGAAATACTGGAGCAGGCACAAACTACACCTAAAAAGGTTATTTCTATAACAACTAATGCAAATATGGACACACGACACCTTCAGTCAGCCAAAGCTCATTTATGGTGGAGTGAGGTGAAGCTGTGTGATGAGTCCAATATTTTCCAAAATATTTTTGAAAATCAGAAATGCCACATCTGCTGACTTCTGAGAAGAGCCACCCAGCTTATTAACAGAGGGTGATGATGCAAGCAAATGATACAGGGGTAAAATACACATTTATGAATGCAACATCCAGACTTTCCATCTATTAGAAACATCATGTGCATGAAATTCTGTTTAAAATGTATATTTTACACATCTTCCTGTCTTTAGAAACACGTTGCTTACTAATAATATCACTTAAACATTTTAAATATTCTGATTATTTTGTCATCCAGTCCTGAAATCAGCATATTATATGATAGCATGTCATATGTGTTATTGCTTGCAGTCATTAATGGGTTTGTAGAGAACCCCTGTGCCAGAAACTCAAGGGGAGATTAAGAATGAGAGCTAAAATCAGAGAAACTGCACCAAATCTCTGTGATCTTATCAGAAGAATAATAAGTCTCTCCAGGATACATTTCTCCATTAGGAAATTCCAACATTGGTCCAACTAGGGCAGCATATTATTTTTTCATACAGCCTTTCTTAGATCATCTTGAATTGCTGTACAGCTCTGATGTTCCCCTGCCAGGCACACATAACCAAAAAAATTGCCCAATGAGGTTGTGCCACAGTGACGGTATTAAAACCCCTAGGCTCTGGACAGCTTGCCTATACTGCTCGGTGCATTTCAGATGGGTTCCAGGTTCATTCGCCTGAACCATTTATGGCTATTTATTTCCTGCTTTTCTGCAATCTTCAAAGCTCCATTGCAATGTGTATGCAAATCTGAGGGTTCCAAAGTACTGGGACACACTCAATCTAAGACACAGTTCTGCTCTGTAAGCACCAAACACCGGGGCAGGCTTGAGACCAGACGACCGGCGAGGGATTAAGAAGGAGAGATATGAAATAATGGGATGGAGTTGGACTTGAAAGCGTGCTTGATCTTTGCCTTCTATCATTCTGTTCTTGCTGCTCTCCAAGAAGAAAAGAAAGGCAAGAGGAAAAGAGGTCAGTCATATCAAAAAGCACAATCCTGCATAGCATTTACTACTGCTGGACCTGTTCTGTTTTCTGCCTTTAGTACAATCTGTGGTCCAAACCAACAGCTGCTGGCCAGACATTAAGGGGCTTTTAGTCCAGTCAGCGCTCTCTAGTGCCCTCACAGGCGGTGATCTATCTAAAGTGATGGATCTACAGTGATCTCTCCTTGCCTCACTGACTTTAGACCCAAGGGAACAGTGAAGAAGTGTGGCACAGGGCAGCATGAGAAGATGTGATTATCCAGTCAGTCAGCTCTGGCAGGCTGGATGACAGCTCGGACACTGGTGCTGCATGCCCCGACACTGTGACTCACATAGGTGGGGGAAAGAGGAAGTCACTGACCAAGCAGCAGGCCACTACACCGGATTACCATCAACAGAGATATCAAAACCAGATCAACACGACAGGGAAAGCTTTAGCAGGATACCTCGCTACAGAACCTGCTATCTAACCACTTTGCTGCAGTAACAACAATGCTACAGTGAAAATGCTTTTGTACAAGCAGAGGTGAAACATTATTAAAATGATAAATGATTTGTTTTCGAATTCATGTTAAACTGCTAAATACTGAAAGGCTCAAATTGCCACGACGTTACTGAGACTAGCACTGTTTAGCAATAAATGACATGGATAATCATGTCATATTAAGTACTTCCTCCCATGACAGAAAAGTCCCTATTACACTGTTAATTTCAAAGGATATTAGTTATTTCCCTTCATTTAAGAAGCTATAGAATCCTGCAAGAACTTTATTAAAATTAGCTCCTTAATTTAAAGAATATTGCAACGAATAAATTAATAAGAATGTGAAGCTTGTTGCTTTTCTTAGAAAACACTACACTACGCACTCCAGTAATTTTATATAGCCCTCTTTTTATTTTCAGATTAATTCATTTACACTATTATTGTTCCCAAAGTCCTCCTGAACAGCTCTGCCTTTACTTGTTGCCAGATTTATACCCCCCTTTTACCTTTCTGAGCATAAAATATAAGTGAATATCATTAAACTCTAGTTGAAATTCCTATTCTTTATGGTAAGATGAGAGCTGAGCTATAATGAAGTAGTTTGATTACTTTTCTGAATGTAGATGCCAGAAATTAGTGCGAGTCATTTGGCTGAGAATGCAGGATGTATGCATGCATGCTCCCCTTACATCACTCTCCAACATATGATGATTTCTAACAAGAAAACAGGTGTCGCATCTGTGTTTAACAATCTCCTCATTTAAATTAAATTAGCCACAACAAAGACTAACGTTGTGACTAACAATAGGAAAAAGTACCTTGCAATGCTGCTAAAGAAGATCAGAAGTGAATGATCACATTACGCTAAGGTGCCCTCATCACCATATCCTGGTCTAAACTGTGACTTTTCTGCAGTCCAAGCTAATAAATAATAGAAGAGCGGACTCACAGACCAAAAAAGCCAATCTGTCACAAGATATTTCTAGTTCATATTTTCAGCTTGTTGTCACTCAGTGCCTGTTAATACTGTTTAAGTCGAAGTGGCAGTGTTTTCTTCAGACAGCTCTGGGCAGCCCCAGGGAGCCTAGGTCCCTAATTGACAGTGATGTGTTCTTTGAGTCGGTGTTGAAATTCTTCATCCACTAAGCTGACCGGAGCCGCAGCGCCTGACAAGACACATTAATTAACATAGAAAAAAAGGGGCCAAAAATAACAAGCGAAAAAAAAAAATTGAATTAAATGCTAACTCTTCATAAGTGGAAACGCACTGGCTTAGCAAAGTTCTTTCCAAGAACTTCAATTAAACATTTTCCTGTGACACAATCAGGTCTGGCTCTATTAAAGGAAGGCTTGCTGTCCCCCGTCTTGTTCTTTTTCTTTTACTCAAACATTTTGCCTTTAGCATAACGTTACATTAACAAAATCAAACTACTTTTCTTCGAAGCTTAAGCACATTTACAGCTTATATGCCAATATAAGCATTGCTTTAATCTGCACATATGGCACTATTATTTTAAAAAGAATAGGGAACATAAAAAAACCCCCAAATGAATTCAGATTAACATTGTACATGCTTTAGTTTACATTATTTATTTAGCTAACAACTACATTAACCATTTTACCTGCCATATGGCTCTTTACTTTCTAGCACTAAGCAGTTCCACAGTTTAAAGGATTATCCTTCCCTGCTCAATTTTACATGATGGATAGATCTCAAAAGATTTGTGCATTTACAATGTTAAAATAAATACACTGATAAATATTAATAAAGTGTTAAGAATATTTCAGACTGAGAGGAAAAAGAGAAATAAATCAAAAACGCAAATATTAGCATAACAGCTGATGATTATGTCTTCGCACTAAACCAAGAATGACCTTTTAAAGCAGTGGATTGGGGGAATTAGAGCTCAGAGCTATTTATTTGCATACACAAACAAGGGATGCATTGAAGATGCACAAACAATGCTATTTAGCATTTAGAAAGGTGTTAAGAAGGGCTGGCTCACAGAAACATGTCTAGAGGTCACATCATGTGATTCTGTGCAGAGGCGTTTTGTTGTGTAAGTCTCCACTTCTTCATCAGTCAATGACCTTCAGCTACTGTAACACACACGCACACACACACAAACACACACAAAGAGACCTAACACTCTTGGTTTCAGAGAACAGTTTGTCCTTCTATACAGCATGTGGCAGTCTCCAGCACACTGTTATGGAGCTTAAACTTGGGTATTTCTGTTGTTATGTGCCGATACCAAGAGCGTCTGCCACTTCAGAATCATTAAACAGGGGAAAAAAAGGTGTATTACGATCCAGAGAAGTAATTATTAATTCATCACTGTTCCTGAATAATAAATGTCAAGGATATTTACCTCCCAAAATATTGCAATGTAACCTCTTTGTTCAAGCGCACACATACACAAACACGCACACACATCCAAAGCGAATCCCACAAACAAGATCTGCTCTCTCTCCCTCCCTCTCCATCCCCTTCTTTCTGCTCTGTGAGGCAGGTTAATGAGAATAATAAAATCACACTCTGTATTTCCTCTGTGCTTTGAATGGCCTCATCAATTTGCAACCGCCGTGAAACGCAGAAGAAGAAAGAAAAAAAGGAAAGCAAGAAGAAGACTGAGAAATCGTGCAAAATACCTGCCTCGTGTTTTATGTCAGTGAGTGAAAAGGTTCATTAATTAGAAACAACCCAGTGTGTAGAATCACAGCTGACTATTATATTTGGGTTTGTAATTAATTCAAGCCTCCCTCCATCCCTCCAGTAATTTCTTATTTTCCAACAGCTGGAATTTGGTATGATGACACACAATGTCAATGCAAGGGGCGAGTCAGATTTCAGTATGTTTTTTAACATCATAGCTACATTTTTTTTTTAACAGTTGCAAAATATAAAGCAAGCATGTCTATAAACAACACTTCTAGGGACTGAAAGGACAGTTAAGAGTTAAGAGAAGAAGAAGAGAAAAGGTGAACAGTAACTTACTGGAGGTACAGTTAATCCTGATACAATCTAGATGGGGAAGAATAGATGAGAGATAAATTCATCTTTCAACGTTACAGCTGCAGACATCATTAAAGCATACAGTCCACCCCTCTGGGGACACACACACGGACACTGTCCTTCATCTGATGCTCTCAAACGTGATCTAATGCGCAGCAAACTTGTGAAAGTGCTGCAGTGTGGCCTCTCAGAGGAACACATTTTTCACCTAACCATTAGAATTGATGTTTAATTACATGGCAGTGCTATGTTTATCCATGAAATATGTTTTACATACACCAAGATAAATTCTTTCTCTTTTTTAATATTATTTTCTTATGAGAGCCTCAGATTTTGGTCAGGGTCATGCAGGGCCAATTGGAAGGTATACCAACTCTCTCCCCATGTGTCTCCCGTGCAAGACAACTTTAAAGCACTGTCCCTTTTTGCTACTTTGTTACATGACTTATCAATGTTACATCGTTAACTAATATCAATAAGCTAAAATTCAGAATTAAATGGTATTCTTATTTCTCCAACAGCAGGGGAAAAAAACAGTCATTAATTATATGTACTCGAGTGCTTCCTAAGCTCAGTTTGAGATACTTTACTTTTGTATCCCGTTTCCCTACTTCAAAATATTCCACTTTTTAGTAAGCAAGTAAAATTAGCTCCACCTTAGCCAATATTATGATGCTGAATGATGTTGCACTAATGATAATAACACAATAAAATAACATCTATTCCACTAAGAGCCATTTAACATGTTTTTTTTATTTCATGCACATTTTAGTGATAATAAAAATCTAGTCAGGTTATATAAAACCTCCTTGTATCATATAAAGCAGATTCATTTCTACCCTATTACTCTATTCTAGTGCTGTATATGCGATTCATACATTCATATTTCATGTGGTAGCATACTTAAAACATCCATTCTGCATAAGTGCATTTTTCGATGCGGATATTAAATGAAGTCTTCTTCACCGTATTGATTTTAGTATTTTAAATTGGGATGTGGATCATTTTTATTAAGTAAAATATCTAAATGCTCTTCTTTAGTCTACACTACACAGCTGTTTTCTTTGACGGTAACAAGAAATAATTATCTTGATTCTACTGTGACAACTTAACTTGGCGTTCCTGTACTAAATACCCAGCTAATCTTACTCTACTCCCACTACTGTTCCTGAATTCTGCTTCGCTTCTTTTCTTTCTTAAGGCTAAGTTTGTGTCGAGCTCTAAGAAAGGTGACCCAGATCGAACTCCCTCCCCTGCTTCCCATTTGGCCCTGCTTGTCATGTGTTGTCAACCGCAGCAGAAAAGTGGTCGCAAACAGCCAGAGACCAACACGAGCCTACCCTTACAGGGAATGCTCTGCTTTTTGAAGGAGGGACAAGGAAGACAGGCATAGAGGACTGAACCTGACAGACAAACTAAAAAAAAAACCTGAAATGTGTCAAAGATAATCCAAAAGAAAACAAAACTCCGTAGCCTGTTGTTTTCATCAGAGGGCATCTTTTTGTAGTCGCAGTAATATGACTTGTCAGCGCTGTCAGTGTGTGGCGCTGTTGTCTTCCATGGTGGGACACATGCTTCCTTGTGGTTGACAGCAGACACAGGCTGTCTACTTTGCATGCACCGCTAAACGGCTCCGCTTAGGGAGCCCATTTCTGTTTAGCCAGTGGAAAGGAGAAATAGATGGCTATCATTTGTGCGCCGAGGCTCTGTTTGAGAGATATCAAACTTTTCACAGGCATCATTGGATTCTTTTCTGAGCAAATAAGCACATGTGCACACACTCGCGCGCACAAAAAAACGAAATGTGTTTCTTTCATTTGTCCTCAATTTTCCGTTTTTGCTGTAGGCACGCGAGAGGAAGGGGTGGAGGGTGGAGGGTGTCTTTCTTTGTACTCATTTAAGACAGCCGCATATTCATGCACGACCATGCATTCCTCCCACAATGATAAAAGTGTTTCTAAATAAAGTGATTAAAGAACAAGTGTGCAGGGTATTTATTGGCCCCAAATAAGGACTGCTTCACATTAGGCAATGACTAAATATTATAAATGCCCCCATCCTCAGAAGAATTATTAGCTTCCTGGTATGAATTATAACTGGAAATACAGAATACAGCAGCGTCTGCACTGTAAGCTGCACATTTTAAGATGATCTGAGTGTGCTGACGGTACACGCAGTGAGCATTCCCTGCTGGGCATTGCTGGCCGTGTGCTCGACTGGCAGTGAGCAAAGAGCCGCAGAGTCTTGCCATTGAAAGTCTTTACACCATCTCTTTCTATTCAATATATATATAAAAAGAAGACCAATTGCTCCGAGTGTGTGTGGGAGAGCAGGAGTATGTATATGGCTATGTTCCCTTAAAAGCGGTTTCTAGCTTAATTTGACTTATCTGCCGCAGCGTGTGTATCCAAGGCATTACCTAAGTTGACAGTCAGCCGGACGCGGCCGCTCTCCAACTCAATTCGCAGAGCGTCAGCAGAGTCCCGAGATGTGGTGGCTATTAGGATGCCATAGGCTCGCTGGGAGCGGAACCGCAAAGACACGTCCTCAGCTTCTGTGTGCATCACCACCGGTAGCTGGACCTTCATAAACTTGCTGCCATCGTAGCTGAGGATGGTCGCTTCTGCAGAGAGAAAAAAAGATATGTGATTGGTAAAATAGACCGTAACAGTTTTATGGTAATGCAATGACCGGGCCTGTCAGCTCAGCTTAAAATGATGCCCTTATTGCGGATATTATTTAATGTCGCGACTTTCAGTTTTGATGAAACAAGTGCATTAAATGTAATAATATCCAGTCATGTAAAAGAGGAATGAATACAGCATATAACTCAACAGAACAGAGACAAGTACGGTCAGCGTGTCTGGGTCTATTTCTTAGACGGGAGCTTTTTGGGTTTTTTAGAGCTACCTTGCCTCACAGACAGCAGAAACACTGAGTCATTTTGACTGCTGATGAATCCTAAAATTAGTCTGTTAGAAATATAAATACAATATAAAAACTTGCTGAGTAAGTGACTGTTAAATGGCATGTGCCCAGATATGTCACCCAAAAGCAGTGTGTAAAGACTTGTCAAAGTCTGGCGACGCATTTTGCTGTGTACTACAGCTGACAGCAAGCCAAACTCTCTCCAAAAGACTGACTCCTGTCTTCCCCGTGCCAATTCAGCTGGTGGACTCGATCACAGAGTCAGTGGCAAGTACATGTTTGGATAATAATTAAGCTTAAAAAACACGGTCCAAGTTGAAATGAAGCCTTCGTGACAAACAAATAAAAGAAACTCAAAGTCCAAGTTCTCCTACATAACAAGTGGCATCCACAAGTATTTTGTATTTGCAATGTAATAGTGGCAAACCATGAAAGGAGAAATTGGTATTGACCGAGGGGAAAAAACACTAACGATGACAGAATTGTAATAGTATATGGACCTTGAATATCGAGCTTCTGCTCAGGGTGACTGCATTTACTCAAAGCATTAAGCGGGCCGTCTGGAGAAATGCTGGGGAGATTGTTTAACGCTGGCAGGAGGTTGTAACAACATTTCCGGTAGTGTAACTAAACCATAACCCAATAACAAAGCCATTACTGCAGCTGCAGAGTTGAGCCAGACAGATATAAGGTGAGACTGAGGGACGGGAGATGGAGACTGTTGTGGGTGATAGGGTACCAGTATACACAAACCACCTCATCACCACTTCCTCGTCACACAGAGCCAATGTCACATCCATCCCCTGGGATAACTCCGTCACATTCCTCACCCAAATCCAATTTCTCCACGCCCTCCTGGGGTATGATGCAGATGACAGGGGCGTGTGACAAACGAGCTCCCACTGCTAAACTGTCTGCTCCCTGCCAGGCAGCTAAAGCAAAGAGCTACATTTGGAAACTGTTAGCCAATGCCAGGGAAAAAGCGGAGCAACTGTTCAAGCTTCTCGAATACTTGAAAAATGTGTCTCTGTTATACCACCTTGCACCTGGTCCCGATACTTGCAGGAAAAGTATCTGAACTTTAAAAAAAAAGTCCCCCTCAGTGTTTAATTATGCTTTGTAGTGTCCATTAACAGCAACTGTCTGTTGTTTAGGTTCGTGGCAAAAATGTATTACTGCTGCACAATGAGTGGCAGCTCAGAGTGCTGACCTGTATAGAATTCTTGCTAAAGAATTAGCACCTTGCTCTGAAACAAGATCCATTATGCTTGCACGAAACAACACATTAAAGAATAAACACATGCAGCGATGATGCTGAGAACTTGTTAATATATTCCTTTAAATTGTAAAGCATTGTGTCTCCTTAAGGGTGAAGAAAAATGAATCATTTGCTAAATGTAACCTATGCAAGCTCCCTTATAAAGGAAAGACATTTCACATTTCCCTCATCTGCATAATCTTCAGCTTTTTTCCCCACACTGGATAGGAGGATAAAATTAATCACAGCTGGAGTAAATATTGCATTTCATCCAAGATGTCACCTTTGCTGAAATTCATATAAGGGACTATCTAAAATGTCATAAATAAGAAAGCTCCAGAATACAGATATGGAAAAAATGGAGGATGACATGTGAGGGAATCATTACCTAATGCAAAGTGAGGACCTGTCAAAAATCCAATCCTGCAAGCCGAGTCATTTTTAATGGCACTCCCATGTTTAATATCAAAATAAATTGAGAGGACTGAAGCTGGAGCTTCTGTCTGTGCCAACCCAACAGGAGGCTGTCAGAGGGGAGATGGAGCATACCAAACTAAACCAAGCATTCATTTTCTGTCTTGTAAAGCTCAATGCAACATTGTTTTCTGATTTTCACAAGAAAACAAGTAGCGATTTGAGGGGGCGTTGGGGCACTTTCAGAGAAGTAACAAACAAGCCTGTACTACTAACAAGGGGTGGGGTAATGGCAGACAGGCACACAGTTCTTCCTGCTTTCTCCCCCCGAGGAGAGCAGACTCTGCAGGAAGGCTGAGCTGTCAGCTGCATGCCACAGGATTGTGATGTCCCACAGTATCGGGGCACCAGACTCAACCCAATTCAAAAATTGCCAGAAAACAACTGCCAAAAGGCTTTTGGAAAATTTGTGTTCAACATCCATAATAAACAGGAGGAAATGGCTCAGAGATATGATAAATAATTCAAGGCAGCTCATGTCTTCTTCACCGCAGCCGTCTTTGAACCCAAGTATAGACAATCCACGAAAGAGACACACTGGCTATTAAAAGTGTGGAAACAAGTTACAAGCTGAGTGGATTTCTTCAGACAGGGAAACAATGTTCTGTGTATGCACAGAGAGGAAGCAGCATCATGGGCCAGCTTCACATCTGCTGCCCTGTGACCATACGGCAACATTATCTGAGCTATGAAATGAGAGCGAAGATGGAAAATAGATCAGCTGAGATTGGGATAATATGCAACTTCAGCTCTTGCATTATGAAATGGAAGCTACAAGTAGTACAGCTTTGCATTCAATCACTATCAAAATCTTTCAGCCGGTCGAGAATGTTAGGACAATTAGCTCATCTCTCAAGGTCTATCCTGCGCTATCAAAATCTTTCAGCCAGAGCTATTCCTCAACATTTTCCTCGAAAAAATGGACCCCCAGCGCTCGTACAGTCACGCGTCTTCCATGTTTTTCACTTTTCTACACATGTATGTCCATCGCTTAAGGGCGCGGGACAACCGGTTCTCTCTAATTATGACTAGATTCAAGTGTGCTGAATGGTGACTAACACAGTGTGCTGTCAAAGGGCACGGCTAAAACATGCTTTAATGCTAACGCTCAGCCATATTCTCCTTTAAGGGCTTTTCTCAATTATGCAATAGCATTCTGCACCTCTTGGCTTTTGCTTTGGACCGATGGCAAATGGCATTATGCTCTGAAAAGCAATAAATGTTCTCAAAGAACAGAGTTTTTCTTTATTTACACTAATTTACATAAGTAGTTAATGCACTGTATTGTTGTGCACTATGCTCTGGAGCAAGGTATTAGACACCTTTAGTACATGCTGGCAATAATATACTGCAGTAGACTCAAGGCTCTACTTAATGATATATCCCTTAAGAGTACCCTGAAGCTGTAAGGCTGCTATATTTTATACAGTTTTTTTTAAATATATATTTTGAACTAATAGCATCACTGTCGTATTGGTAAAAGCACAGTGCAAAGCCTCTACACTGCAAATCAGCAAGTTGTTAGGTATGTCTGGTGTACAATGAGCAGACTCATGTATCGATCTGTACACTGATCTTCAGCACCGAGCTTATCCATTGCGGGTATGTTGAAGCACACGTTCAGCTGCAGCCACTGTGAAATGATGCAGGTGCTGTCAGTGCTGGAATCCAGCATGTCAAATCTCATTAGGGAATATGTGCATGTACTACAACACACCTACCACACCATCTGGGAGGCTGCTTTAGCCTCACACTGCAAGACTAATATTTGGGCTAATTAGCAACTGGAGGAACAATGAAGGGGAAGACATTTGGGATGCAAGGGGGGAAAATTGCTTTGTCTGCTTAATTAAAATGTCTCAAAATAGGGCGAATAGCTCCGTGGCTGTGTTCCGAAGATCCACCTCCTGCTCCTTTTACTTGTCGTCGTCCTCCTCCTCTGCCATATGCAGTAGCTGTATTTTGCCACCGGGTGGTACACCATGCATGGATAAGTGAGAGCTGGGGTAATTCTTTTGACAGCTCCTCGGCCTGCTGGTGCCTGCTTCATCCTACCAGTGCAGAGGCAATCTGGAGCATTCAAAACAGCTGGCAGCACGCCAGAGCCCATCCTCTGTACCACTGCTCCCACTCACACTCTCGCTAATGCCTGTCTCATACACAAGTGCAGAGACAGCCAGAAAATGAGAGTTGGACGGAGAAGCCGAGACGCCAGAACACGGCTCTGGTGTTCAAAGAGAGTACAGAAGGTCACGGTGGAGGAAATCTTTGCAACACGCAGTCTCTTAATGTGGAACTGTTTCAGCTTTTTGTTTTTGTTTTCAGAGCAAAGTCAGGCTGGATTATATCTTTGGACCCAAGAACGCTCTCTGAATAAGTAATTATCTTCCTGAAGAGAAACGATCTGTATCCCTTGCCCACTCCACCTCCCTCATGTACTGTGTCCTAATTCCTGTCAACTCATTAGCTAAAACCGACGTGCACATGTGGAAAATCAAAGTAGCGCGGAGACAAGCCTCACTGACACGTTCATCAGATATGGAAATCGAATTATTTTCTTTTACACTAAATTTTATTTCTGCTTTTTTTGCTCCCTTTTTTAAATCAAATATTAATTTCCTGCCTCAGAACTAACTAAAACACTGCATTCGCAACACGTGCCACATACCTTCAAGACGTTCGTGACTAAACAAGCCTCATTTCACAACAGTGTCATGTGCTTTTGTATCATTTTGTTTTTGTGCCATTCGTCAGATTTCCATCAGTATCATTAGCATCTCTAAAGTGCAGTTGGAGTTATAAATCAGCGTCATCCATTTATACTCAAGGTTTTGTGTGTGTGTGTATATGTAGGTAGGAAGGCAGGGGGTGGGGGGTGGTTGGTTTGTGGACATAATAACTTACTCCCTCCCCACTCCAGTGGCAAGACTCACACCAGAAATTGCCTTCCCGAGTCAGACGATTGCTAGAAGACTGGGTCAATATTAAAAGAATAAAAAACAAAAACTAAAAGAAACACATATAGTTGCCTTTTCTTTCAAAATTAAGGTTTTTAAATGACTACTCCAAATTTTCTTATGACTACTTGACTAATTTCTGATGCCTTATTCATTTCCCAGTCAGTTTTAATGTGTAAACAGTGTTCATAATTAAGTCGTTATGGACTGGAAGCATTTATCACAAAGCCAAAGCAAGAAAACTACAGGAACCAGGTCAGGAACCTTTGCCATGTAGCCTTTGAATGGTGAGGCTTGGATGAAACATGTTGCTCCTGATACTTTTTATTTTTTACAAAAACTGGCACACTTTGTGTCATTTCTATCGATGCTGCACTTCTTAAAATACCATAGAAACGTTTATACTGGTTCTAGAAGCGTTGCATCACCGTAATATTTGGTGCATCTGCCCTAAGAAGACTAACAAGTAGAGGTTAGAGAGAAAACAACAGATAAGCACTGTCCACATACAAGTTATGGTTAAAAAAGACAAGCTGTGACTCTTCAGATAACTTTACATTTCACAATAGATCCGTTTAAAACACACACTAAACAGAGTTCCAACTATACAACATCCCTTTACTTTTGGTAATACTGTTTCATGAAGCAAGTGACTTCAGCACAGAGGAATAGCAAAAGCACGTGTGGAGCTGACACATGTAACTGTGTGGGACGTGGTGCGTTCCAACCGCAGCGGATTTTTTTCTTTTTTTTCAGATGAGAGAACCTGTTCCTGTTTCGGCGAAGATGCATCACGCTGTGATAACAGTGTCACATGCTTGGGCACTTTTTTGACATTTGCCTTGATTATGCATATGTTAAATGCTTTCATGCATTTGCTACTATTGCACCATTGAGATTTCATGACTATGCATGCTGCTGCAATATAAATCCCTTAACACGCCAATATATAGTCTACTGCTTCAGGTTAGAATCTGTGATGATTATATGTATATAGCTATGAATTCATTCAACCAATATGGAAATATCCTATGATTTCTTAATATTGCAGTTCTCCTTAATAAAAGAACTATAAATTGGAAAAATGTATTTGCTTAGTCTCACTGTGTGGATAAAAGGAAAGTACATTGATCAAAAAGATCAGCAAATTAAAGCTGATCATGCAGAAATGTTTAATCTCACAATTCCTTAAAGATACACCTGAAATTCTCTTCATACATTTTATAGCACAGAAAAATTTCTTGTACTCCGTTGCTTTCAGCTAGCTGCAGAAATACAGCAAAATACTAAAACAGGAAGAAAAGAATCTGCTTTAGAGTACTAAGGGCAGTTCTGGAAGATTTTCTCAGGGCTAAGTTCAAGCAATTATCGCTTTTTATCAGACAAATATGTGACTATTCATTTTTTTAGTATAATTTGCGACCCTATCAACTTTAAACACTAGTCAGAAAGTTCAGAACAAAAAGTGTTCTTTTAATTTCTAAGTGATCAGCTATAAATAAAAAAAAGACAAATTCCTGCAGAATCAGGGGTAAGTCAGACATAGAGGCCTAAAGTTTCACGGTGTGACACTCACTTCTCCTATTTCTCTTCTCTGGAGGACAGAAGGATAAGTATTCTGCACCAGGTCTGGTCATGAGCGAGTGGTTTGATGAGGCAAATGGTTTGCAGAAGACAGCCAATTTACAGGCAAGTGTGCATGGTGGACGTGACCAGCAGTGTCTCGGTGGTGCATCAGTCACCTGCCACTCAACATACTCGAACATCAACCCTCCGTATCCTGACTCATTTTGCCTGCTTCTCTGTTGCTGTCGGTCTCCTCCCGCAATTTCTCTCCTGCCTTAAATTACCACCAACCTGCTGTTAGAGAGCTGGCGATGTTCAACCATAAGCCTGGATAACAAAAAGACCACCTGCAGGCTTTTGTGTGTTGACACTGTTCAACGTGAACTTGAAAGACAAAGAATACTACATCCATGGCGGATATAATTAAACCAATCTTTTCCCGCTTTTCTTTGATGTAAATTATATTCACACTTTTATGATCCCATCCCTACATCAGAAGATAATGCATGGTGAGGTCGCTGTGCAGCATCATCAACATTTTACACTGGCAAAGATTACGCCTAAGAGAAAGAAATTACAAGCAGTCTAACAGCTGGGTAGACAAAATGAGACAAAGTTTTACCTCTTTCGCAGGAGCGACCCAGGTATCCAGTCCCAGAACAGTCACACACGTAGCGATTCCAGCCTTCTCTACAGATCCCATTGTTTTGGCAGGGGTTGCTCAAGCACTGCTTGGGAGGCTCTTTAGAGCAGGAGGGCTTGACCCCGGCAGCTTTCTGGATCTCAGCCAGCCGTCTGACATCTTTACTCTGTCCGTCAATAAATAAATCTCGAATGCAGCCTACGTAGCCATAGTTGAGCAGTGCAGTCCACACCTCGGTGGGGAACACCAACCCCCTTCTATTCTCCGGTAAACCCCCGAGGTACAGGTTGTCATCCAAGTCCAGGATCTCACTTTCTCCAGGGGCTGTGTAGGCAGTGCGGAGGGTGTTGATGGAGATGGTACCTAAAAATGAAGATACAGGAAGAATAAGTTATTGTTTTGCTACAGCTACTTTGAGGTAAGTAAACATTTAGCCTCCAAAAGGCACTGTGTGTCCTACAGGACCACAAAGATGCAAAGAAGACCCATTTGAAAATGTTTTGATGAAGAAATTAACCTAATTAGTGTTATCCATCTGGACAGGGTCAGGATTTTCTTCATTTAGAATGACTGATGAGAGATGATAAGATGCATTAATCACAGGGCAGCTAGTCTATTAGTAGTTTAATCTGGGATTCCTAAGAGTATCCTCTCCATTTTCCTTGGGTTTGCCATAATAAATCTCCTTTATCTATAAAGCAGTGGTCATAAAGAAACTAGTGAGGAAAAGAAAAATAGTTGCCCCCTCTATCATTTTAGCCACCCTTCCCAAAAAAACATCGTAACCATCTTTTTGATCTTGATTAACGGACTGGAGGCTCCGACCCCCCCGCCACCCTGTCTCTCCTTCTGTTTGCCTCTCAAACACATAAACCTGCAATGAGAGCATGTGTGTTTCCCAACATGATTTATCACTCTCATTCAGGTTTAATTCTCGATCTGGAGCACGGTAAACAACAGCGGACATGACTGGACTGTAAAGCTGTGGAAAAGGAAGGCCTTACTGTGGGACTCAGACCGGGTGATTAATTTGTATATGGATCTGTTACTCTGAGTGCAGGAACCATTGTGGACTTTAATTAATGGTGGCTGCCTCCACTGCCCGCATCCTCGTCCAGTAATCTATATACCGTGGCACTGAGGATCCACACAGGCCACTGCCTGGATGGATGCTTAAAAATAAAATTGCCATAGAGTCAAAATTTGCATTTTGAGTGGCAGATGCATGCCATGGCAGATATGAAGGAACTAATAGTTGATTGCCATGGGCTAAATGGCAAAGCTGTAATGCTTGTACTGTATGTGGGAGAGAAGTGTAGCTTTTAAGTTACTTTTCTAGTCAAAGTGTTTATGTTGGGGAAACAAGCCCTAAGCCATACTTGAATTTCAGCAGGGCTGCCTGGCACTTTTTAGAGACACATTAGATATTAAATGGGGCATTTCACATTTCATTACAGCTACCATTAGCATGCATGAATGTACATATCACAATTAATTATACATATAATAAATATCTGCATTTCTATTTTTTCTATCAAAGCCTTTTTTCTCAGAAGCATCTTTTCACATAACAAAAAAATTTTAAAAATCACTCCCTATGCTAATAACACACTTGTTCATGTATGATCTTCATAGCCAAGGTGAGCCAGCCCTTTTGCAAAATTGTTTGAGAGAGACAGCTAAGGACCTAGTGCACAATGATTAACCGGGTCCCACTAACATGTTCCAGCTCTTTTCTCAGGGTCTTGGCCCCAGGCATCTGTTCCTGCACTTTCCTGCCGCCACCCACTGCCCCTGCTCTCTCCAGCCACAGCTGTTGAGACTTCCAAGCTTTGCACACTTGGCATAGGCCACCCGTCATGCAGCCAGAACAGCTCCCTTCAGGTTATAGCTAACGAGCTCACTACATCAAACTCATTAGCGAGGAAACTTTTCTCTGAGTAGAGCAGGTGCCCGGCTGAAGAATGAACATCAGTGTGGTCAGCGTGAATGGCGAGAGAAGTATCCACACACGCAAACACTTTTTTTTTTTGTCAGATCCCACACTGTGACAGGCATTTGAAGGAACTGAGTGAAGTAGTGTGCAAAATTCTTGAGCCACCCTTCATTCCTTTATATTTTGCCATCTTCATGTTTCCTAAAGGACATACAAAGCTCTTCTTTGAGGTAAATCCATGACTCATTATGTTCCATTCTTTGCTTTTCTATCCAGGTATGCTTTTACTGCTTTGGCAATGTGTTTAAGATCGTTGATCATGTTGAAAATGATGCTGTTGCCAATCAGATACTGTGCGGTGGATTAAAGTCTGATGGTACTTTTCTATCTTCCTCATTTAATCAATTTTGATCCCCAACACCACTGACTGAAAAGCTCCAAACCATGACAGAGCCTCCACCGTCTTTTACAGATGGGTGCAGACACTCACTGTTGGGCATCTCTCCTGATCTCATATGTACTGACATCAACTTTGGTGTAAACCTGTTGCCCGCTGATTTTCAGTTCAATTCTTGTGTAATTTGGCAGCCTTTTCTTCCTGTTTCTCTTCCCTTCTTGAGAGCCACCCTTTTCTCATTTTTCCAGTGAACAGTAGATGAATCAAATGATGGTCCATGTGCATTTCTCAGGTTCTATGTCAGATCTGTATTGTTCCTATTTCTTATGGTTTCACATTGCTTTCAGATAAATATTTATCCACTGTAGATAGTTTTTTTTGTAAGCTTTCCTCTTTTGTTCTCAACTTGTTCAATTTCCTCAACTTTTTTAAGGACACCCTGCACATGCCAAAATATGCCAGGTTTTTGGCAAATAGCTTTTTGGTGTTGGTGCCAAAATACTATTTTATACCTGTCACACTGTGTTATCTTTGGCATTTTTCAACTACAAATTCACTAAAGAAATAGGAACAAATGATACATTTTTGTAAGATGCTGCCAGTAACAAAATGCCTAAAGATACGATTTAAAATTTGGCACACAACACCGGTCCATCCTTTGAGTTTGGTGTCTTTGTTTACGCTTTAATAAGATCATAGGTCAGTGTAAAAGTGGCGTAACAAATAGAAATTCCACTGAAAAGAGGCTGGTACTTGAACTGGACTGAGAATGAGTGAAAAAGCAGGTAATGTCCAATGAAAAATTTGGAAAGAGTTTCAAAAAGTCTGACCATTTTTAAAAATTACAAGAAAGCCTTGCTCTTTGAAAGTAAAATATAAAGTGATACTGTTAAAGTCATCATCGAGTTATTGGATGCTTTAAACCTCATGATATCTACACTTAAGTCTTATTACAGTCATAAAGAACGAAGAAAGAATATCTGTCTAAATTGATGCAGAAGAAGAAGAAGAAAGATATCTACATCTCCTGGGCATCATGTGACAGTGATGTATTTACTTCTCAATCTCCTGTAAAGAATATGTGAAAGCAGAGTGGATCTGTGTAATGTTGGACGACTACCCTAACAGCAGGGCATATACACACTGCAGGACTACTTATGTTTTGAACACTATTATTTTGATATCAGGGGGTGTGTCTTGTGAATGCTAACATTAAAGAGGAGGAGATACAGAACAAGATGAGAACATGGAGATAAAGAAGCCTGGAAAGAGGATGGGGGGGTATATGATGACAGATAAGAAAGCAGTGGGAACACAGCGGTAAACAGTGTCCTGAAAAATGAGTACAGAAATTACAAACGAGATGATCAAACTGATACAGAGGGCTAAAATGTGACTGAATGATGATGACAAAAATCAGCAGTCTAGCCAACTTAAAAGCGCTGACCACATTACTCTCTCTATCCCTCTCTGTGGGCTGACCTGAGTGGTACTCCATCATCAAACCTGAAGGCAGGGGTCCAAATGACAGCTCAGATCTCTCTCACACTTTTTGCATCAGCAGCCAGGCTCAACTTGGCATGATGTCCCCTAACCCCACTCACACATCCCCAAAACATGTCAGACAGGGGATTACTACAATCCAGTTAGGGCGATACGGCCAAATCTCTCCCTGTGATTGGATTCTCTGTAGAAAAAGAAGCTCGTGAGTGGGTTGTGAGGATAGGGAATATGTTATCTATAAGAGTGTGCGTGCCTGCTTCTGTTTGTTTGGTGTACGTGTGCATGTTTGTGTGTGAAGTAGCGCCGCGTGTGCCCTAGCAGGAAGTGTGGCTACAACACAGCAATGTCCGTGTAATGTCTCTGATGAGTGACCCACAGCACTTGCGGCCCAGAAGCCCTCACTTAAAAGCAGAGTGTCTCTTAGCGTCTCTAATGCATTGAGGGTTAGAAGATGCTGTCTGAGAGCCAGAGTCCATTTGCAGGCTTGCTTCCTGTAGAAAGAGCTGCCTAAACTAAATAGGGCAGGGATCATTATCCACCATTGTTACAGCTGCAGGAAGCGTTGCACACGGAGGACTGGGCTGCGGATAATTATGTCTGGCTGTTGTGTTGCACTTTTGTTATGAGTGATGTGCTTGGTGGTGTGTATTAATAAAACATCTGACACACCGATGAAAAGCCAAGAATACCATATGTTTGATGAGTCACGCTCTCGGGGGACTGGTGAATTCTTCTATGTTGTTTTTGAAAATTACCTTGAAGGACTCGTGTGTACGATTTAAAGGGTTCAATTAAGAGAACTAGATTGTAGGATTAATAATCATTTTCATCAGTGTTAAATTAGCTCTGACAATAAACTGTGGTTCAGTTCAGTTAGGACATAGGTTCATGTGGTTTTGATACCTCACTCTAATTTAGGGAGCAAGCATATGTTTGATGGTACACTGAAAACATCAGACACCTAGTTAGTGTTTGCAATGTGTCTGCTCACAGAAGTGGGCTTTATTATGGCATTTTCACTCATTTGTTAATTTTGTGTCATTCAGTTATGTTCTGTGCTTTGTGTTGTTACCAGTTGACAACGGTTATTTGTCACAGTTAGAAATGTTCAGTCTGGTATAATGGCTGGAACCATACTGCTATATCACAGTATGACATGAACTGTGGATGAATGAAATGTACAGAATCCTCTGTGCTCTCATGAGCTGCATAAAATAATACCACGGGCCACCACTAGCAGCCTCAGTGACAGATTATGCTGCAACATTTTATGCGAGCAATCGTCTGACAACTCTGGGCTCAGAATGAGCCCATTACAAAGAGAGAGTGTCATCCATGGAGCCCAACATGTAGCGCTGCTCTGTTTCTATAGTAGCCCAGAGTGCTCTGAAGAGAGCAGTAACCAAGAGAGAGTTGTTCTGAAATACGCAACCTCGTGGCTAAATGCCAGTAAAAAGAAGCAGTGTGATCACATCACACCTGTAGTGGCCTGCCTACACTGGCTTCCAGTCCATTTCAGGATCCAGTTTAAAATGTTATTACTTTCTTTTAAGAGGCTCAAAGGTTTGGCGCCACCATGCCTAACAGAACTTTTACGGGCCTACACTCCTACCAGAGCACTGAGGTCTACAAACTCACCGCTCTTGGATGTCACTCGCTCAAAAATAGAGGTGACAGAGCTTTTTAGGTGGCAGCTCCTGATCTGTGGAACAACCTCTCTACCTACCTACTTATTCTTGCAGGCTTTCTGTTGTAGTTCAGGACGATGATTGTTTTATTTGATTATAGCTTTAATTGAGATTCACAATTGTTAATACATATATAGAGATTATAATATATACATTTCAGGAGTGGTATCCACACCATTACACACCATAAGCAGCAGTGCTTTGTACAGATCATAGAAACCTGGATGTAAGAAATAAATAAATAAATTGGAAAAAAGCTTCACAATTTGAAGCCACTGTGTGCACGTATCTAAAGCATCCTCGCCATGTTGTTACTCGAATCACAAGGGGAGTCGTCATATTGGCGAGACCTTTGTACATCCTCTCTACAGGCCAGTACGTAAGTGTTGATCCGCAGGACTTGAGAAAAGAAGGAAAAGTTATTCTGAAATGTCATTAGTGCACAGCTCAGCACAGCACTGTGCAGTAACTGTCTCAGTCCTGGGAGAGACCCCCTCCTGTTTCCATGGAAACTTAGGCAGGGTAGACAGAGAGAACAGTGAGTGGAGAGCTCGATGAGAGAGCTCGGGGTTCTGTGTGCCCGTGTTCGTGTGTACATGTGTGCACTGCATGGGGGAGGGTGATCAGAGGTTACTACACACATAATGAAAAAAAATTTAATTTAGCAAGACAATGTTGTTTATAGTGCGGCGCACCGCAACTAAATGTTTTGGATTTATGTCATCTGAGAAGGTACCCACAGCTTTCTTCTCCCAGCGAATTCAATAGAAGCCACTCAGCAATGTTTATTTCAGCGTATGCCTGTATTGTGTCACCTCAAACAGAGTATTGGAGCTAATTTTACAAACCTGTCAATGACTAATGGAGCTGAATGTGTGAAAGCTGTCACTATTTTAACATTGTATCTAGCTCAATTTGGAACTACAACCCAGACTTGCTTAGGGGGGTAATGAAACAGTTAATCTAATTTCCACCTCTTGAGATGGAGTGGAAAACATGGTCAAGGGGTATATCTAATTTGCAGCATGACATTGCAAGGGCTTGGCTCTAAGCTCACACTAACAAATTGCTGCTTAGATAAGCAAATCAACAGGGACCAGTGCAGGGCGACCCGGGGCGTAGAGGACACGTTGTGAGAGGGGACAAAGTTATTTTGTTGCAAATATGTGTCTGGAATCGTGACACGTAGCCACTATCTGGAGTTGGGTTATCACTATTCAATTGGATTTTATAATAAATATGTAAAAATAATTATAACAAGTGGAAGGGCAGGCAGTGTGTGGAGAAATATTCAAGTTTCAGTGGTGAACCAACGCTGGTACAATAATGAATAATTCAGTTTTTCAGAAAACAAGTCCATGACCCCATGAAAATAATTTTATTTCAGTAAAATTGTTTAAAGAGCTCCTTATTTAAGTTTCTTCTGAATTCTGCGTTGTACCGTACACAGTGTGATCAAAGGGCCCATAAAAATCTGATCTCCCCTTCAAGGCAGTTTTCTTATTCACCACCAAAGTATTTTGAGCATTGCTGCTATTTTTAGATCGCTCTGCAGGAGTCTCATTCTGTCCTGTTGTACCTGAAACTCTTTGATGCACGTTATATCGGCACCAGTGTGTTGAAACAGTGATCCCTCAACTTCCAACTCAGAAAGTGGAAAGAACCGAACGCAGTAAGTAAATAGGTAGCTAACAAAGGTTGCGCTGATGATACCGAAATCTTCCTGTGATGTCAGTATGCCGGCACACAGTGACATGATGCCACAGTTCATGGTTGTAATGGGACTTCTACAAAGTGAAGAAGAAAATTTAAGCTAGGTAGTATGTATTTTGGATTTTTATGGGCCAGTGCTTCTTGATCGCACTTTATATGTTGAAGGCTAAACTAGTCAGTCATATTGAGGATTACTTCATCACCATACTTTTTGCACATTTCTGGTGCCAGGAGGACAACGACACACAAAATTAAAACTGTGTTTGATTGCTGGGCTACTGAACTGCATGTAATGTGGGTGTTTGTTTGTATGTGTATGAAAACACAAAGGAGTGTGGTGGCATGTCTCTGTATAATTTCAAGCCTTCTGAAGTATTGTATTTTGTTTTTATGGCACTATTATTTAAGAAATTTCGATCGGAGATGGTCACTGTCTGCGCTACGAAAGAAATAAACTGCTGAGAAATGTATTACTGCTACAGTACTTCAAGTCAGGACACGTGGAAGGTGTAAACTACTGCTGTGAAAACACTATTGTTAAGCCCACAGACCCTTTTCACCTACATTGATAGGAAGTCAAGTAGTAGTCACGCAACCTAATATATTTTGTTGATATAAAGTACATCAGTTCAGTTTAAGTGGTCATTTTTTGCCATGTTGCATTTTTTTTTTTTTACATTTAAATGTATTGCACTCTCATAGTAGCGACAGATGCAGCAACAGGTCCCTTTTATTGTTTATTATTGTTTCTTGCATGCTATTCGTCTAAATATTGTATGTTGCTAACGATTTTTTAAAAAGTTACCTGATCTTCCATCTCGCTGGAAGTCAACATGGTACCACTCGCCGTCATTGACCTTCTTGTTGACTGCCCTGGTCTTTGTGGTTCCCGAGCCCATGTCCAGCAGCAAGTACAGATGGCCATCCAGCATCTCGATAGCAAAGAAGTCCACTTTAAGAGTTTGAGGACTCTTTGAATCCTTTGGCTGCTGCTTGAGCTTGCCATGGCTGAAAAGGAGAAGGCCGTTGGGCTCAGTGGTGCGGAAGTCAAAGGAGATGGAGCCTGTCTTTTTAGCATTCCACTTGTTGAGGATGATGTAAGACTCAGGCGTCTCAAAAGTGATGGGATCTAGAGTGGCCACGTTCTCACACTTGAAGGCCACAGTGCCGTGGATCTTCATCTTGGGATCACCCTGCTTGGCCAGCCTGGACAACTCAAGTCTCACGTCATTGTTTTTGTATACAACCTGAAATGGAACACAATAAAAAAAAGGTTTTAGTCATATTCTGCAAATCAAAGATCGGTTTGCAGAATATAAATATAATGGGGAATGTAAATATGCATAATTAAACACCATGATGTCCATGTGATATTTCATCCCACAACACGGTGTCATAAGCAAGGATCGCATGCCTCAGCTATTGGTAATCTTTGTCACACTGCACCTATACGTGACGAGCTGTGTCCACAGGGTACCAAATGTCACAGACATCTTCCCGCTTTCTCTGCACCCATTTGAAGCCTTCACAACAAGTGAATAGTGGGTGAAGTGTAAATAGGTGGGAGATGCATTTTGGCTTTCAGCTCTACCGTCAAGAGACAACCTGAACATGACAAACAACTGTGACAATGGTTTGGAGAAAATGATTTTATCCAGCATTATCTCCCGGGAGTCGGTGTGACATGTGAGATGAAGAGTGATAAATCTAAACTAGTGACTTGATTGCAAGTGTGGTGCAAAATGCTGATTTAAAGTCCCTGTTGGAGTATTTGATTAGAATAAGAGTGGTCAGATGATGGATATGCCTTTCTAAAGAAGAAATTAGTGCAGTGTTTTCTCATGCAAGCTCCAGCATCCATTATCCCGTACATACTGTTGGAAATTTCTAAATCAAAAAACCCCCCAAACATTTATGTCAATTTTAGCTACTGTTCTCAGACACTATAAAACAGGAGGCTTAAATAAATCAAATGTATTAGTTCTGTGACCTTTGAGATGATATAGAGCTAAGGTACAGAAGTGAAAGAGTAGCAGCCCATTAAATGTCATTAAAATACCAAATTTACTGATGGATGAGCTTCATTATCATACATGATACAGCAACAGTACATTTTCTAATTTGCTCATTTTTATTTACTGTTGTTTGTCTAACTAGTAAACTCCATTTGTGTATGAAGCTCATCTTAATCGCCTGATTTATTCTCATTCACTAAAATGCAAGAAGAGGCGTATTAAATTCACTTAAGCAAGTTTCTCATGAATACTCAAAATATTGATTAAGGTCTACAGTTTGTGTAGAATATGTCTGTGTGGGTTCCACTGTAATTAGCGACAGTCCAAAAAAAATGAAGACAGCTCTAACCCCGTCATTATCCAATCCCCACAATGAAAGAGTATCTACTAAGCAGCTCTAAGCAGCAGCTAGGATCCCTATGTCTAGTTTCATCCAATTTCCAACTAATTAACATTTCCGTGAATGTCAACATTTTGCATCAAAACATCAATGGAGCCGTTATATTTTTCACCAGACACACTTGACATACTCATACAAAAGCTAAGATTTAGAGGACAACAAAGGCTTTAAACATAAAGATGTTAAAGTTCATCAGGAAGAGAGATAAAAGGGGAACTACTATTTAACAGCCACCTCTAGATGTCAAGCGCACAGCTGATGATCTCTTTCACGCTGCTCTAATACTGCTAATTGGAGGATAATGTTAGAAAGTAATAGATAGCTCTTTTACTGCAATAGCACGCACATTTATATAACAAAAGAGTTGTAATTGTATGTCTGTTGCTTCCAGTGGGTCAAATCAAATGAGTTACAGCTGTGGAAAACACTAGCCATGTTTTTTATTTGCTGTCATGCTAAGCGTTCACCTGAAAATGGGAACATGTCCGATGGGATTGTATTTGCATGGAGCATTATGTTTATCACCAAGTCAGATCTACTGTGTCTAACTGTTCAGGTGGATGGAGCTCATAGCGGTGCTTCAGAGTTAGATAAGCCAAGGCTTAGTTTATTATGCACTTAACTGTGAGGAAATCAAACCAGGAAACTATATTTTCTTCACACACACACACACACACACACACACACACACACACACACACACACACACACACACACACACACACACACATATAAAGTATATTTAAATATATACGGTGAGAAAGAGAGAGAGAGAGAGACTATACGTGTATATTCCCTCAGGCCTGTCAGGTCTACAGTGGCCACATTCTTGCACTCGAAAGTCACACTGCCGTGGATCTTCATCCTAAGATGAAGGCCAGGTGATCCCAATGTGACACTAAACCAAAATGTAGTGTTTTAGGGATTATAGAAAAAGAAATGGAAAAAAAGTAAAGGAATAAATTACAGCCTCTCTGCCCGTTGAACTTGACTCATGCAGACAAAGGTGCAACAGATACAGCCAATAAACCCAAATCAATTTTTTATAGTCAAGACAAAGGGCACCTTTCAGCATCGGAGGAGCTTTGGTCTGAGCTACAACTGGTGCTGCACTCGTAGTGCTGCACTAATTTGTCATCAAACTAGGGCTGTGACAACTGAGCTATTACTGCACCACAGTTTGTTTTGCCATCAGAACTAACAGGCAGGCGTGGCGACTCAGACTGGAATCTGCACACAAATGCTGCAACATGCCACTTGGAGACATGTTATCAATCAGGTCCCACAGCGTATGCTGTTAAACCACCACACATATTCTATCACAACACACTCTGAAGCTGACCTGAGATGGGCCTTTTTGTTTAATTCAACAGCCTGGATGAGAGGATGCAAAGAGCTTGTCAACGTACTAAAAATGTCAGACAAAAAAATCAAAGTCAAGTAGATGGAACTAACTATGGATTTTAGATCATGCGGGCTTAATCTCTTTTTATTTGATATTGACATTTGCATTTGTCTGGTAAAACTAAATAAGGAATATTAAATGATCCCATGAGCAAATAAAATACTGAAAATCCCCTCAGTCTCTCTTCTTGTAGGCGTTATCGCACCTCTGCAGCATATTTAAAAGTTTTTGAGCAGTTCAATACATGGATCTCAGGACAGTGAGGGCAGGCTTGGCAAGAGGACAGAGAGTAATTCAGTGGGGTGGATGACCACAAATGGGGTGAACCAATTCCACCCCTGTTGTTGTAGCATCTGCAGCACCTGCAAGACATGTATTTAACTAAAAAAGTTGCCTTAAAAACACACTTTTAATAAGCTTGTGAACATTCCCTGCTCCACTCCGTATGTACTCATTAAAGAGAGATGCTTGAGACCTATCCTAGATGATACTGAGGACAGCAGTCTGCCTTTAATGATACCAAAGGAGCAAGAGGAGCTACAAAAAAGAGAGGGACAAAAAAGTTTGAAATGAAAAGATAAATAAACTGGTCATTTTCAGTATTTTATAAATTGGCCTGAACTTTGAATAAGTCTCACAGCTCTATAGGTTCAGAGTCCATATTTATTGTTAAAAAAACTCCTGCATTTTACAATAAAATGTAAAAGTACACTATAAGCATACAGACATTAAGGGGTGAGTGAGAAACAGTATTAACTATTCAAATGGCCCATTGCACTGTGGAGGCCAGGGATGTGCTGAATTCAATGCATCCCAGAGCGTATAACTAATGTACATTTCTCTATTTTTCTTGTTTCGCTCCCGCTTTTCAAGCACTATTAAGTTACATTTAGGAAAGCCCTCCACAGATACCGAGCATAAAGAAAAAATGTTATTCTTTAAACAATTGGGCTAAGATAAAATCTGATAGAGCACACTCCCCAACAATAGTGAGGTGTTAAGCGTGTCAGGTGCTCCTCATAAAAATTCCACTCCCTGATCTCAGGATCACCGCTCCGCTTTGAAGTGCAGCTGACATAGCCACGTGAAGCCCGAGGTAAATTCCACTCCAAGACAGACCTCTATACGTGTGGGTGTGTGGTGCGCCCGGCATAGTTATGTGTGCATGTGTGTAGAGCGTCGCATGTGCACTGAGGGGGCAGAAGAGGGAAAAAATTTTGAGTCAGAGAAAGTTTGTGTCAGTGAGAGTGAGGAAAAGAGGACAAACAAACTCAGGGTGTTAAGGATGAAATAGGGCCAGCTTGTGGGTGGGAGGGTCTGTTTTGGAGTCCTAAGGTGAAGCCAGTCATATCCTGCACACCCACCAGCCTCAGAGTTCACACAGAAGTGGTGTTTACCTCCCTGAGGCAGCCCATGAAGTTGTTGCTAACTGGAGATCCAGGCAGGTCGGCTGTGCTAGGGCTCCCTCCGACATAGAAAAAGTCATCAGAGCCTAGCATGGTGTAGTCTTCTTGCGTATATCCTGTGGTGGTCAGAATCCCGTCAACGGATATTGTTACCTAAACAACAAAGCAGAAGGAAAGGACACGCTATACTCAGACAGCCTACTATAATGTTATAGCCTTTTTTCTTGTAATCTAGGTCAGAGTTCCCTACATGTTTCTTTTTTTTTTCTGAAACCCATTTTCATGTCTGTTTGTTTGTTTGTTTGCTTGTCTTTTTTCTTGTTTTTGTTGATTATTATTTTGTCCAGTTTGATTAGTTAGGACGACTGCAAGACTTAAAAGGAACACTATTCTAGTTAGAGAGTTAGTCAACTGCCCATACTACAGTGTTAGTATTGCTGCTACTGCAACATAAAAGTATTTTAGCAGACACAAAAATGGTGTTAGTAAAATGTTATCTAGGTTAGTTATTATTTATTATTATTCCATATTAGTATGTCCAGCAGACGTTTCTACAAAAGAAACCAGAACGTGCCACTAGGTTAGAAAGGGAGCACATGCTATGAAAAGCACAGATACCTTTTATTAAAGGACAATGACTGAGGGTAAGAGACAAAAGAAGACATGCATGCATTTGTCTTTTCTTTTTGTTCTCACGCACACAAAAAGAAAAATCTCCCAATTTTCCTGATTGGGATACAGAATCAGTATTTCGACACTTGCCACAGTGTCAGATGCATGCACAAGCCGATGGACACTGTAAAAACCACAAAGAGAAATCAGAAAAACACCCAAGACAAAATGACAAACACAGCTCAACCGTCACTTTCACGTCGACAAATGGGCAGTGTGGCATATGCAACAGGTAGTCAAAAGTGCATGCCATGCAAAGTGAATGGGGGATACAACTGGCTGAGCCAAAGAGCATCAGGCCAGCCAGACAGGAGAGGGTCCTCATTATTAACCACAGCTTGATGCAAAAGGCTCGAAATGATGCTCCTAAAAAGGTGGATCAAACAGAATTGGACAGGAAACAAGTGAAATAAAGAGGAGAAACCAATGAATGAACCAAGAAAAAGGTTTCGAAAAGTAAGCAGAAGAGTACCAACCGCAATTTCCTTTTTTTTTTGTAAATGACGTCTACAGTAAAAAAAAAAAAAAAAAAAAGGAAAGGAAAGAAACACACGGCAAACCCAAACTAAGAAACAATTAGAATGATATCTACCGAACAATGTAGTTTGTTTACCATAGCGTGTCCAATGCCTGAGTGCTTTGTGGAAAAGGGGGGAGAAAGGAAATTAAAAACTGTGAACAGAATAACGATTGTTACTCAAATAATATATGATGGTCAATACTGTTAGTACATTGTCAAACGGCAAAAAACCATACTGGTTAGTAGTGGAATGAAACATTCCATGAATGATGTTAGTTTGTTTCCAAAGCATGTTAGTAACATAGAGAAAAAAGGGCAAAATAAGTTTAACAAGAAAAAAGCAGACCAAGGAAATAACAAGAATGCACAAGAGGTGCAAGTGCTCAACCAGTAACTCCCTGATTTCCTTCATGGTGTTTTTTTTTTTTTTTTGCACCATTTTCTGTATGTGACTAGACTGTTGAGTAGCAGAAAAAAAAACTTCCTTACCCAAGTCCCGACAAAAGGTTATGATTGACAGACATGGCTCATACGAAAGAATGCCTAAAGCACATCAGTTGACCCTCTTAAGAAAATTCCCAAGGCCATTTCTAAAACTTTATTATTATTATCATTATGGTTGCTATTGATATTAGGATTCGTCTTCTTTTGTACTTGGTTTTAGGCTTGAGACCAATCCAGTGTATCAGACTTCCCACCGCTCATACAATACTTTACCTCCGTTTGGTCTTATTGATGAACTTTAGGATCACTTTACTGCAATGAGACAAAGCAAAGGAGACCCTGACACAGAATATGGAGGATGGCAATTTTGATTCCCCCGCAGAGCATGCACTCAATATGCTTTGTTTTCTTTACAGTTTGAATGCAGTGAATGTTCAAGCTGGCCAGATCTTTAGGTTTGTCAATAATCAATTGGCTTATTATGCAAAAAGAAGCTGTGGTACTGAGGTGAAGATAAAAATTTCCCACGAAATGAGCAGGAACAAATCTAGAGATTTTTGGGTGTAGACTGCAGTCATGTGAAAAAGTACTCCCTCTTATAATTCTAAGGTTTTACATATCAGTACATAACAAAAATAATCCTTAACCTGACTGAATTATACAAAAATTAATGCACAACTGCTTTTTTATTTTAAAGATTGTATTCTAAATAACCTGTTTCATCTAAAAATTATTTTATGTTCTAGTACAATCAGTAAAGTATCTTTATATTTATCTACATATTTTCTCATCACACATTCAGTTCAACGAGTCCTTCCAGAACACAACCTTACTCCACTGTAACGTCCTGTAGTGCTAGGATCTGTACGTTGGCATTAACACTTTTAACACTTAAGTCTGCTACTGTTGCTCCACAAAACCAACCACGTTTTTGGGTAGTTATCAATATAGTGCAGGACTGTCTCTATGTGTCAACTACAGGTATATGGGTTACACTTAACGTACATCACCCTGAGGCAAGCATTGGTCCGAAAGCCTGCAACCTCATGCAAACGAAACAAGTAGTTTTGAAACGTTTGCAATGTATCCAGGGTTATGGGACTCTTCTTGAATTCGACAGTGCAAATTAGCTTGATTAATTAGATGAGGGGTTTACGGTATTCAGCTTGAAAGACCTGTACAATAATTTCACATTCCCATGTTTCCTTTGCAGAGACAAATGTCACAGTGTGGTATTATTAGCTTTCTGCTTTCCTAAACCTAGATAATGTTGGGGTTAGGGCCCAGTGAGAGTGATTAATGTTTCCAAATCATCTAGCAGAGCCTGTGTGTATTTACGAAACAATATCCAATGAACTGGAAGCAAAGTTCCAGCTGTCTTGTCACAGCAGCTGTTGTACCTACAAGTCGAGATGCACCCAGAAGCTGAATCCACTTACTCTGGAAATGATTAATTATGATCTATAGGGCTAAAGGTCTTCTGCCTAGTTGGTATGTGGGTACTTCTTTGCACACAAGACACCTGTAGCAAAGGTCTTTCATCTGGGGTTCTATCCCAAATGCCATGCTGCTGATTCAGCCACCTGCAACTAGTCAGGCCCTAGAGAACTGGAGGAAATTACACGTGCTATTGTAATAAACCCAGAGGGTAGATTGTTGAAACCCATGCTTTAGTAACCTTTAGTCTCAAGGAAAGCGAAATTTCAACCAACAGGTGACCCTTACATCAGCTGAAACCGAGCATTCAGTTACTGGTGAAAGCCACCGACAGCACGCCAGTGTTGTGCCTCAACAACTCTTCTGTCTCTTCAGGTTGGTCATGGGTCCAACTGATGGGCCCTCCAATCATCCTCAAGGATGAACAGCCTCTTGCAGAGAGCTACATCTTGACCCAATTAACTGTATGCTGGCCTGCTGTGAATCAGCACAACAAACACTAACAGACCTCTGCTGATTTACTCCGGCCAGCATGATCTGCACTTGCCAGGTGGATTATTTACATATTTGTTAAGCAAAAACGCTGTGCTTATTAATATCCTCATCTCATAACCAGGCTAGAATTTGTTCTGCTGATATCCTGCAACACTGCAGGAGTTGTACCACCCTTTGGTGTTAAGAGGCCAAACAGGATTTTTATAAGAAATCAAATTCCTAAAACTCATGTAAAGTCACTCCCCTGTTTCTTAGGAGTATAAGGAGGTGAATCAAGACCATAAAGCAAAGTCCATTAAAGTCTATAAATCTTGTAAGAGGTTTTTGCCTGTGCTGGAAATTTGACTTTGGTGCTTTAAAGTCTAACTCTAGGTTTACCTATGCTCTACATAAAGGTTTTCTTTTATATTAGTAAAAAGTACAGTGTGCTAGCAAGTTCGTTTGAATGCTTAAATACAACAGATTCATAATGACCAATATCACAACTGTACTAACATAAGCACTCAAATGTTTTTGTACCTTTTCTCCCCTTTTTTTCCAATATTGTAATTTTTGTTAATACAGACTATACTGTACGTACTACACTGAAATTTGAGTTCAGTTAAATTTGTTTTCCCTTGACATCAAAAACAGTATTGTGTCTTACTTTGCACATGTTGATATGTAAATGACTCTAGAAACTTTGCATAGCTACAACAAAGGTAAAATGTCATTATAACCTTTCTTTTTAAAAGTTAGGGTTGATTTAAACTGTAACTTTACACAGGCCCTGATTCATATCGAGATGTCCCTGCTCCCTCGTGGTTTTGTTTCACTCTCCACCAGAAACCATCATGATTAAATTTAGCAATTTAATTACAATGTCTGGGAAAAATAATGTATTGTATGATGGTAATGATTTAAGTGAATTTGTTTTAATTTATTTACTGAGTCTCCATATCACCCTCTGTACTGTTACCTGACGTAGATTCCTTGTTACTTTGACATCATGCCAATCATTGTCATTAAATTTCCCATTGACTGGCTCCACAAGAGCTTCAAAGGCTCCAGACCCCAAATTAATGACGAGTGAGACCGCCCCATTTTTCAGAGCCAGGTTGACGTAATCAGCTGATTTTCCCGTGTGCAGCATCAGTCCATTCCTCTGTAGGGTTTTGAATGACAATGTGATTTCATCACTGCTGCTTTGAATCGGGTTCAAGGACAAGTCGTAGCAGAAGAACTCAGATCCTTTGAAGGTTGCGACAAACTCTTCTTTTCCTGCAGAGACAAGGGAAAGAGAAATGTGTTTCATTAATATAATGCCCTCTTGGGTGCCTGTTGGAAAGGTGTGGAAAAAATATGCGAATAAAAGCCTCAAAATGTTGAATTGATAATAAATACACTGAAATTAGATTGTAAATGAAGGTATAAAAAGAGACATATTTATTTAACATTCCAATGACCAACCAGAATCCACCATAGCCAAAGGAATGCAGGGAGATAATCCCAGGCACTTATTTCTTACCTTGTACAGATGTCACTATTGTAATACTCTTCTGAGGTAATTAGACTTAGATTAAAGCAAGCGGATGATTAAGGATTCAACTGACATACCTGATAACAGTTGCAAGTTATATATCATTATATTTTTCTGTGATTAAGATTGGAGGTCTACAACAACACTATTTATTGGTACATCTGCAATATCAGAAATAACTTACAAACATGAAATAACTTACATACATGAGCGCCTACATGTAGGCACTCATGTATGTCACAATAAGGCATGAAAACATCCTAGAACATTACTACTATACTAAAAAAAAGAAAAAATAACCAATGTCTGAAAATGTAAATTAAATCTGTAAAATGCTTTGTTGTCATCAGTAGTGCTACAGCAGTGTGCTTGGTAATTACATTTTGTTAATTATAAGATTCTTCAATTATCTGCACTACGAAAAAGTTGTTTTTTGCCAATTCTTGCTAAAAACTCTGTAGCACGCACAACTTGAAGATGACATGTAAAATATATGCTAACTGAGAATGTAAGATTGCATTTCCAGAGGGATGATGAACTAAATGTGATATAAAAAACTCACAGAATTGTGATTTATGATAAATTTCTCTTACAAACATATATATGTTATTAATCCTTGCACATGTGATCGTGCAAAGTTCTCTTCAGACTGGCCCACCCATTAAAAGGAGGAGATAGCGTAAAGGCAGACATGTATCCATACATAATCTACGATCATTATACTGTAGTAAGAAAATGATAAGAAGATAGGTAAGAAAATATCAAACATGCCTTTTTTTTTTTACTGTGCACTGGTTACTTTTTTTATTGAATGAAAGGACAAGAGCACAATTATGGGCAATTAAGTGCAAATTGTATCTGAAACAGCAGCAACTGAATTTAGCTGCTATCACAAGATCCAAGCATCAGCACAGTTAGCATGCACAAACAAAAAGTTACCAAAAAACCCAGAGTGAAGTAAAACTTGTCTTCCAACCATAACCAAGCAGCCAGAGCCTGATCTTATAACATTGTTATGATTTATGATTTATAACATTGTAGCTACTGTACACGTGTATGTGTTACAGTAGTGAGCGCTCTGAAGTCTCTTTGCCTAGTTTCCAACTTTACTTTGCATATACAACTTTGTGTTCAAACACTAAAAGAAGTTTTGTATGTATGTTCTCATACAATAGGGTTTTCTGTTGTGGAACTATAGCCAACGGTTTATATTGTCAACTGGTAATTATCTGACACAATAGTAAGCTAATGAGTTATGTAATAAATGTTTTAATCTACTGTATTATGTAACAAATAATGCAGTACTTTTTCTCGGTAACAACCCCAACATTGGTCATCAGCTATTAAAACCTGCTCACACACCTTAGATAGGAAGACAATTGCACAGTTAGAGCAATTACTGACAAAGACTAATGGAATTCAAAAACCGAAGAGCAACAATATGACCAAAGAGTGCCAGCAATAAAAATTATTAAATCTTCTAAATAATAGAGATTACTCACTGCAGTTAAAGAATGACACATTGGTACGGTGTTAATATGACAATTTATATCAAAATTTACAAATGACCAAGAGCTCTAGATGTGTTAAGAGCAAAAGAGCACTCCTCGGCCGTCGGGCTATCAGCAAAGTGACTGATTTCTATAATATTTTATTATATGATTTGGCATAGCAAAAACATCCTTGAGAAAAACCTTAACATTCTGAGACAAAAAGAAAACAAAGTGACATTGGACATCAGTGGGTGATGCATGTGAAAACCTATTAGAAAGCATTTAAAAAAGGTTTAGACAGATAACAAGCCATTAAAGCTACTAGCAGAAAATAAAGCACCAAAAAACAAATGGAGCAAAGCATTCAATTATCATAAATGGGGCTGCACATTTATATATGCTTGCCAAACAAACACAGACACACAAATTAACACACACACATATGCTTTGTATACCAACCAGTCATGGATGCAACAATGTAAGAAATGAAAGGGGTTGCTGTCCACAACAATTTGTCACCTCATTGATTTCCCCTTAAACGTGCTATAGTGCACCTCTGGGAAAACTACAAGGGGCCATAATTGAAGCTGACTGGATCTCACCACTCTTTGGTCATTCCTTCTATGTCTGCGCTCCCTATCAGTGAAAATGAGAGAACTCTACCCTCTTCACTAAATCCACCCATCCCTGCTTCACAAGCTCAGTGACCACATAACAAATAGAGCCAATAGTTTAGGGTCATTCTCATTTCTCTCTCCACACATCCCCATGCCTTCAAGTCAGAGTTAATTCCCCTAACCAATGGAGAATGAATTGTGTGTGTATAGCAGAGGCATTGCTTAGAATTTACAACGTTTGGGGGCCAGGCCCAGAGGGAGCTTCAGGGCCAGGGGATGTGCAACTTCTGTGGTGTTTACATTCCAAACTGGGCTACTCAGATGTAAACATATGTATGTTTTTGGGGTAGCTTACATGTCTGATAATTGATGCTGCTATATCTTTATGATATATTGCAATATCCAATATTTATGTGAAAAGCCTAGACAGAAACATCGACACACTTGAGTCAAGAATTCATTTTCCCATTTCCAGCTGATTTATAGGTAAACCAAGCTTTGTGGTCAAATATAGTTTTGTTAAAGGTATCTTATTTTGCTGTAAAAAGCACTGAGGAATACTGACTGGGAAAGCTTCAACATAGTATGTCTGTAATGATATGCTAATTAGCTTTGTGGCGCTGTGGTGATTAATACCTTGCTGGGCTAGTGAAAGCTGCAGTGTTTAAAGATCTTTCAGGTAACCTGGAAAATGCTAAAGTTACTAATCACAGTTATGTCATTGGGGTTACATAAGCTCTTTCATCCATGGGCAGATAGAAGAACTTTATCCTGCACTTGCACGACATTGGGCTAAGTTTAGTTAGTTCGGACGGAGGGAAAAAACAGCAGCTAAATATAAAACTTTTGAAGAGTGAAGATATGAGCATTACATAAGTTTTTACTGTGTGACAGGACAAGGTTGTGACAGTAAAGTGCAAACTTTGTCCAGGCCAGAAACAATGATCCACTGCTACTAACACACAGCATTTTTATGTGAAATGCTCTTTGGGTTGGAGTAATATAATGTAAAAAAAAATTACAACAGATGAATAACATAACACATAAAAAAATGGAGTCACATTTATTACTTTGATTTTTCTATTAGAAACCCCAACGCTGTTGACTTACGACATAGGTCACGGTATTAGACTGTTTTATGCAAAGAGTGTCCCCAATAATAATGAAGAAAGGTGCTATTTTGTTGCTGCTTCTCCTGGGTATTTGGGCATAGCCCATTTGTCTCTCTGGGCAGACCTACAAACTACGGTCAATCAAACTACAGCTAGCTGCTGGCACATCAATGCCCTTGAGTCATAACACTGAATGAGAACAAGAATTACAGCCAGCTTCTTTAGTGTTTTTCAGAAAACAGAGGACAGAAAAAGACATGAAAAGAGTGAACAGAAAGCTCCTAGGGAAAGGCCATAAATAGACACAAAGGTAAAAACTTGTCACAGTGTGTTTTTCTGCATCATTCATCCCACTTTTTTTAAAGACAACATCATATTGGTGCCTTCACCAAAACCCATTTTACACTACATTTAGAAACTGCAAAAACCTCCATTAGCAGGATATTTTAAATGTCGTGTTTTGCTTTCTTTTCTTAGATCCGTCAGAGATCTAAGACCTGTGACAAAAATAATTGTGCTTCAGCACTCTCATAATCCTGTGATCTCTTTCAAACGTACAACTGTCCTCGTCCCTGCAAAAAAACAACAACTGTTAATCAACAGCAGCTAACTAACAGTCATTCAGGCATCTCGTTCTCTATGGTCACATCACATTTGTGCATATATGGTGCAGAACTAACTACTCATATTGATGGAAGCAATGCAAGTGTCCGTCACTCAAATTAAATTACAAAAGGCGTGAGCAGAGTTGGCGCTGCATGACACGACCACAAAAATCAAGGTATGCTTCACTGCGAAAAACAGTAAAGGCCGCGTAACTGCCTCTAAAGTATCATTCAATCCTAATTGAAGTTGACTATGTAGAACCAAATCACTCATTTAGTATGAAGCACCAAGGGGCTTACAAGCTGGAGCACGTCATATGTACAACATTGCCAGCATGTGACCGAGCGACCAGGAGGCTCCTCATCAGTCACTTTGCTCTGACACATAATCTGGCTACTGCTACTCTATGGCTGCTTTTTAAATTAGCTCGCACCCAGGGGAGCACATTCCCTGTCAACATCAAATCATGACACAACAGTCTGAAACAGGCCTGGCAGCATATGAGAAAAATTACCCATGAAATGAACGATAGGCAAAGCTTTGATTTTAAGTGCAAATTAATCTAGTCGCTGACACTTTTGACCCGATTGTGTACAAAATAAATTTGTCAAAAGTAAAGGTGAAAGTATGGCAGAAAAGTTGAAACGTGGGAGTAGAAAACACATTTTACTCAAACGGCTTTTAAACGATACAGCCGATATCATTATTAATGACAAATAATGAGTGTCCTCCAGAGTCAAAAGAGACTAAATGAAAGATGACACATAGCAAGCAAGACTCATACTAATTTTATGGGCCTGTAGAGAAGGTTTCGAATTGCTCAAACAGACACAGCAATTACGGTTGCCCAACTCCAATTGTGTCATCTTCTTCATGACAGCCCTCAGCATTAACTGTGACTATAGCATGAAAC